AAAGCCCACTGCGGACATGAGACCTGGTTCAAGCCCAAAAGAAATACAGGTCTTTATTCTTTAAATTTCAGATTTAGAGAGACCCAAAAGAGTTTACTTTCTATCTGTAGTATTTCCTCTCTGACCGCAGACGGTGAAGGTAGATCAACCTTTGGCGGTTAGCAACTTGCTATTTTCCTTGTGTTTCTTTGTTTTGATGGAACCATTCCGCTAGTTTGTTTCTGGGGAAAATCGAAGCAGATCTGTATGTTGCGGAGGAAAATGGTAGCAGATTTATACGTAGGTGGTTTCTTTGTTTCTTTTTCTTCTGGGTTTGAAATTTTGGTAGGGCACTAGACAAGTTGTGCTTGGTAATGGCAACGTTTTGTTTTTCTTTTTTTTTTTCTTTGATCTATTTTCTTTGGTCTTATCGTAGAAGTTCAAAGGAAGAGATTTTCTTCAACAGTAAATAGAAGCCACAAATTTTGCAAATTTTCATCAATCTCCTATGAACCCCATGATATATGGGAAGTTGGCCAAGAGAAATCATAGCAAATTAGCAATGAAGATGCTGCAAGGTAAACAAAGAACAAACAAGGGAATGCACGTCGGATATAACTATTTCCTCTTTTAGTTAATGCATGAGTTATTCTAATGGACAAAAACCAAGGGAATGCATGTTGCACTGTAGACCAAGGCTTGTCTGGCTACCAAAGAACCGGAGAGAATATCTCAAGAAACCTACATTGGATAGCCAGCCAGCTACAATCATAATTTTCACTTTCCTAACACAAACCTCACAGTTACAATATAATTGGTTATATTGTTGAGATAATTGATTATATGAGCATTTTGGTGATATAATTAATTCCTTTTTTTTTTTTTTTTTGGTAACCTTGGATATAAATGCTTATATGCCTTTAATTCTGAAAAAAAAAATTTCAAAAGTGCAAGCCATGCTCAACAGCTCACGACTTCAGAAGCTTCAGAAGTTTTCTGGGCAAACCAAACATGCCCCAAAAGTTTTCTTGAATTTATAACTTCAGAAGCTTCAGCAGTTCAGATCTATAGTTTCAACTTCCACTGTTCTAAAAGCTGAAATCGTTTAAGAAAATCCGAATAATACTTTTAAGAAACTCTAATCTGATGTCTACACTGTTTTTCACCAAGCTATTGATAACTCAACAATCATAACCTTTTCCAATGTTTTGCCAGAAGGTTTAATGTGCCCCACTGCATTTAAGCATTAATTCTATATATGATGTCAATCATCCATCAATAGCTATTTTTCAATAGCAGCATAAAAGCAAGCAGAAAAAGAACAGAACCCTTACCAATGTAGTTGGAGATGATGAAACAGTCTACAAACTAAGCATTGATGTATCTGCAGGCATAAATGACAAAGCAAATCCCAGACAAACTGTAATTTACAAACAGTTAGAAGTTTCCTCCCAAGCAATTTTCTCCCTGGCAAATCCATTTGATAAAGATGTCCATTACGTGGTTAAATGAAAAGCATAAAATCTGGAGTCCATTTGTTCTAAGCAGTTAAAGCAACGTTGACTAAAAGTGCCAAAATTTTAGCAGGCAATACAGCAGTATGAAAAATGCACAAACCAAGGATTCTAAGCAACTCAATGTAATGGGCATGCATCCTGGCTTTGGAAGTGTCATCCTTGTAGGATTTCAAGGATGATACCCTATTTATATATCACCAAAGCTTTGAGCTATCAAAATTGAACTGACATGGCCCAAAAAAATAATGCTACATATGACACTTATTTAGAAGAATTTTCTATGCTTCTGCACACTGCATTCCAACCAGATGGCATTATACAAATATATGCAGCACATAAGTAAACAAAGATCACATCAAAATACACAAACAAAATTGAGTGATGACTGATGAGGTTGAGATGGAAGAGAATGAAAACCAGAAATTAACCAGAAGAAACAACATATTCGATATTAACATTGAAAGATCCTAACGAAAACATCACAGTTGAATAGAGGGTAGCAGAATAACAACTGTTGGCAGGCAGAAATTTGAGAAGATTACTTAAGGTACTTTGCTAAACTT